CGCGAGTCTATATTTTTGAGCAAAAGGTGAAAACGGAGCCTCTACCTTGAGTAAAAGTGAAATAAGAGATTATACCCGTATTTTTTCGGCAACTTCTGTTTACTTATTGAGGTAAATTTTTGACACATAAATTTATTTCAATTTCTTACGGCTAACATTTGAATGATCGAAAAAATGCAAGTGCCTATTGATGAGCAATCATTAAACACAAATATATATTGTTTGACATTTTTGAGGTAATATTTCTCCTTTTAATTATACTTATTTATCTTTAGAATTATTTGTTAAATACTTATATTCTGATGCATTGAGTTTTGGAGATGCTATTATAGAAAATTAATTATATTTGAGGATCTACTTGTCCTTTAAAATACTTAAAGAAAAAGATTCGACCACCTGAAGATGGTCGTTCTTTAACGAAAATATTTGGCCACCAGAAGATGGTCATTATTTCAAAAGTTTGGTATGATAAATTTATCTGTGGCTACAAGAACATAATTATGCAATTTTCAAAATTACTTCTCAGTTGAAATTGTGTCGAGAAAATTTTACTCATAAGATATATTGAAAATGATATTCTCCACAATTGATTTCTCAAATATGCTCTTGTAGTAGCAATATTGAGAGAAAATTTGAGAAGTATTCTGTACTTATTGTATGCTAGTTCTAGTCCATTCCCAGAAGTGAATGTGACCAAATTTCAATTTACTAGTTATAATTGTTGCCATGACTATGATTTTGGTAAATATATATTTTATCATGACAAGAGAAAAAGTTACCACTTGAAGTGGGATAATAATGATAAGAACAAGAAAATAAAGGTCCTAAAGATAAATGTCCCGAAGTACATTTGACGAATCAAAATTATAATAACATTTTCACATGGCAATTTCTTTAAACGCCCTGAAGGTGTATGATGATTGATTTAATTTATGATAGTAATTGACTTTTCTTCCTGAAGAAAAAATGGATGTTAAATATTTGGGATCAAAGGATTATGGTGATGATATTTGTCCATAAGAATTATGGTTATAATGATATGTGTCTCATTAATAAGTGATACTATATACACTATTTTACAACAAAAGAGTAGTGCTTAAGTGATTGAAAGCTCCGGAAGAACCACTGCTATATTTCTCCTTGTAGGAGAAAAGTTTATCATAAATAAAACACTACTTTTTACCATGTCTTGAAAGAATTATTGAATTTGAATATCCGTCGAAATGGATATTAAATTGAGATACTAAATGAGACAATAATAGAGATCACGTTTAGAAATCAAGTGAGATAAAGGTTAATTATATCATAATAACCATTTGAGAGAGAAATGGTTATCGATATAGTTGTCTTCATTCTCATTTGATTTATAATCCTCACCTGCAGTAAACCAGAAGTTTACTGATTCCAACGGATATATGATTTGGCAAAAGTGAGAATATTTGAGAGCCGACAAGTATTTATACATACCCTCTTTATATTATATATGGCTCCAAAAGAAATTTAAAATTTATGTCGGGTATGAATCACCTTTTACGATTAAATATCGTAAAATATTGATAGGTGGTCTATTGAATGATTTATTTATTCTGATGAGTTACGATTCCCGACATTAGGGGGAGGAAAAAATCAATCAAAAGGAAATCACCTGAAAAATTAGATTTCCTCGATCCTTATACAAAATAATATGAATTAAAAGTTCAAAAAATTCTTCATTTGTAGATAGTTATATTTATTGACTTCAAAAGAGTCATTAAATCAATTATTCCTGCAGGAAATACTCTGGCTAAGATTGATGTCCCTGAAGGACATATACAAGTGCTACAAATAAATTTAAGGCCGGCCTACCTAAATAAGGTATAAATTGATTTCAAATATCTCCGGAGATTAATAAATGTCATGACAAAATTAACCTTTTGAAAAGGTCGCTCCTGAAGAGCTAACTTTTGAAGAGTTTACTCCTGAAAAAAAATCATAAAAAATGTAATTGGAACCTAATGAAATGTAGCATTTGATATTATAGAAGTTGATGATAATCATGAATTTAGATCGGTTGATGAATGTCGGTATATAAATGATTGGCTAAAATGAAAAGATGTCATCCAATCTGAATTAGACTCACTGGTTAAAAGAAAAGTTTTTGGATTTGTAGTCCAAACACCTAAATGAGTAAAGCTAGTAGCTTAAGGTCACAAAGGCCTGAATTTAATTATGATGAAACGTATTCACCCTTAGTGGATGTTGTTATATTTAGATATCTTATGAGTTTTGTAGTACATGAAAAATTAAATATGCGTCTAATGGACGTTGTTACTGCATATTTACATGAAAATCTTGAAAATGATATTTATGTGAGAATCCTCGAAGGATTCAACATGCCTGAAGCATGCAAATCAAATCCTAACGATATTTATTCTATTAAATTACAAAGATCTTTGTATGGTCTCAAACAATTTGGACGTATGTGGTATAACCGCCTCAATGAACGTCTAACTAAAGAAGGTTATACCAATGATCCAATATGTCCATGTGTTTTTATCAAGAAAAATGGATCAAATTTTGTGATAATTGCTGTATATGTTGATGATCTAAATTTGATTGAAACTCCTGAAGAGATTCAAAATAGTGTTGAATATTTGAAGAAAGAATTTGAGATCAAAGATTTTGGAAAAACAAAATTTTGCCTTGGTTTACAAATTGAGCATTTGAAAAGTGAATTTTTGTCCACCAAACTGCTTATACCCGGAAGGTATTAAAGCGGCTTTATATGGATAAGGCACATATATTAAGTACTCCAATGATTGTCAGATCATTACATCCTAATAAAGATCTTTTTAGACCGCGAGAGGAAAATGAAGAGATACTTGGTCCTGAAGTACCATATCTCAGTGCAATTGGCGAAAAATATTTGGAATGCGACGATTAAAAGATCTCAAATGATATTTGCATCAGGAGGAGAAATTAATATACAAGAATAGTGTACTCTTTTTCCTTCACTAGGGTTTTTGTCCCGATGGATTTTTCCCTAGTAAGGTTTTAACGAGGCATATTCTTTGTGTAATGGATATCCAAGGGGGAGTGTTATGAAACAATTAAAAGTATGGATGTCCCTTTGTATTTCCAAGAGGATTAATTCTTGATTTATGACTACATTATGTATATAAATTACAATTCATAAATCTATTCATGTAGTGGAGAAACCATTTCATAAGTTTCTTCATATTCTTGTAGTAGTGGTTGTTTAATAAGATTAATGTACCTTTAATCTTGTAGTACCTATATATAGAGGTATATTGACACCCTTTGGGAAGACTTTTGTATTTTGTTGGAATACAAGAATATCATTCTCCATTACCCTACTTTTCCTCTAATATCTTCATTCATACTATAATAGTTTATTAGTTTTACAACAGCCAAATTTTTTTTTAAAAAAGCATAGAAATGACAAAAATCAAAATGTGATAATTGTTCAACTTTAAGAACCAAAATAACTTTGTTTCATGGCACGGTGGATTGAGAGTTTGCTGCTATAACACAAAGGGATAATTTTAGAAACCTCAAAGTTTTTATCAATTTCATCAAATTACCTTGAGATTTAAAAAATTATACCAACCTCCCTTGATTTGATAGTTTTAGTAGCTAACCCTTAAAATAACATTAGATAGTTTTAGCAACTAAAACCTCAAAATAGCATTAATTGGTCCAACATTTAGATAAATGCCCTAATGTAATGAAGTTTAATTTAATTGCTTTCCTAAACAATTGTAACCTAATTTAGCACAAATATAGGGAGTGGAAGCCAAGATTTTAATACATATACTTATTGTTTGATAAGCAAATATTCTATCACACTATGATAGAGTATTTTTAAAAATGCTTTATTGGGGATTTAGATTTTTAAGATGGAAAAGAAAGTGTTGCCATCATAGTTTTAGATTTTGTGAATTTTTAGGAGTAGTGGAATTACTATTATTTGGTAGTGGTTTTGAATAGTTTCTTTTTGAGTTATTGTTGATTTTGATACTTCAAAAAAAAAAATCAAGGAAAACACAGAATGATATTCAAAGTTGATTTGTCAAAAATAGCCACTAGTTTGATATTGGTTACAATAGAGGCTATGTGCAATGTTGATCATTCCATGGTTTTACAGGAGGAATAACAAGGAAAAAGAAAAGGGAAAAATAGTTTTAAAACTCATTGTTTGGGCAAGCATACCAAACAAGGAAGTTTCATTAAAATATTAAACATAGTATTGTGATTTTAAATGGACAATGAAGGTAGGTGTAATTTTTGAACCTCAAGATTATTTAGCGAAATTGCAAAGATCTCAGGAGAGGATTCTGAAATTATGCCTAATAAAAAATATTTGGTTAGAGCCAAATTTTTTCCCTTGTTTTGATCTTTAGTCCGACTAGACTAATGTTGCCATATCCATAATTGACGAAGTATTTCAATCATGAGGGATTTCGTAGAAATTAAACAGTATATAAGAGTACAATTCAAGAATATAAAGTCGTATGTTTTTTTTAATCAAAAAAAAATTATTAAGGGAAAAACAAGGTTACAAACGCCAATGCTCACAAACTATCACTCCCTCACAACACGGCGGAGGGAAGGCACTCCAAGCCTATCCAGAAATAGAGCTCCTCGCGCTAATCGGGGCAAATCCGAAACAACCATATAGATGTCGTCCCGAGCCAACTGGCAACCCGTGTTAGCCAATGCATCCGCTACCTGATTCGCCTGATGGTAACAGTGAAGAATCCGAGGCAAGTAAGATGCAAACCCCAACAACTGCTGCACCTCTGTGTGAATGCCCATGGACAATGTACTAATCGTTTCAAAATATGGACTAATACCAACGAGTCCAGCTCCACCTCCAAGGGACCGAACCCCCTCTGGAGACACAACTTGACCCCAAACAGCAGGGCGCGGGCCTCAGCCTGCATGCTCGAAGCCAAGCCGAAGCTACACGAAAATGCCAACACCATCCTCCCCCCTCATCACGAAGTACCCCCTCCTCCACTCAAGCCAGGGTTACCCTTAGAACAACCGTCCGTGTTAAGCTTTAGACTTCCGTGGACAGGACGCACCCATCTAACCAACCTATGGGAAAACACCGTTTTCCATGTCGATATGGCCAAATAGAACTGATCCCACGACCATGACGGAACCTGGCAGTCCGGAAATTGAATCCTGAACCACTGAATCATCTCTGAAAAGATTAATCGACATACCTGTGCCCCCACAAACCTCTTACCCTCGTACTTCATCTCGTTACGAGCCTTCCAAAGATGTCAGCATATCAACAAAGGACAACCTGATGTATGAACCTCAAAGGCTTACTCCGTTGCCGAACCTCCTACCAGGCTGCCATACATACGCGAAATGAAGACCCTGACCAACCTACCCCAACCGGAGCCCCGAAGAACCTCCAAACATACTGTGCCATAACCCCAGCACCAAACACATGCTCTGTAGCCTCAATCTTAGGAGATGGGCAGCACGAACAACGAGAGGGTCCATGTATCCCCAACCTCCATAACGAACAATCCAAGGGGAGTCGGTCCCGTAATAGCCGCAAAAGGAAAAACGAAACCCTCAGAGGCACCCCTGGATGCCAAATACGATTAAATAGTGGCGAAGACCCAGAATGATGCTGGATCAAGCTAAAAGCCGTCTTGAGCGTAAAACAACCCGATGGCTCCAGTTGCCAAATCATTAGGTCAGGAAGCGACCCTTTAGGTGGGAGAATTCGGCCAATCTCCGCAACAATACCCGGAGGTACCCATTGTGAAATTCTGCCAATGTCCCAGGCACCGTTTTGCACAAAGTCCGCCACCTTGTGGTCCGACACGCTATCCAGCCGGGCTGCCAGTCCTCCAGTTCCTAGCCAATTGTCAAACCAAAAATTAGAGCTCTCGGACCGAACGATCCATCCAATGTGCCTCTCCGCCAGAACTCGGACTTTCACCATCCTTCTCCATCCCTCTGACCCTTTCTCAGAAAATACCAGGTTGGGGTGCGCCATGCGGCAAAACTTTGCATGCATAAATGAGGCCCACAAGGATGACCTGGAACGAAAATTCCACCATAACTTGATGGAGAAGGCCCTGTAAATATCCTCTAGAAGACGGAAGCCAACCCCCCCTTCTTCACGCGAACACACAAATCCTTCCACTGAATCCAATGGTGTTTGGGACCTTCCTTAGTCAACCCCCACAGGAAATTAGAAAACATACCTTCAATCTCCTTGAAAACAGATTTTGGGGGCGAAGCCGCCATCAACATGTATGTCGCGCATAGCAGAAGGACATGTTTCAACAACACAATCCTCCCACCATGCGACAACAACCTATTCTGCCAGGACAGCAATCGCAGGAGGACAGTTTGACACATACCCCCAAAAAAATCTTTCTTTCTCCGCCCACAATAAAGAGGAAAACCAAGGTATTTAATCTGAAATGTTTTATATGAGAACCCCGTGACCCTCTGAATTCCCAATCGCTTGGAAGAAGAGGCCTTCGGGTGCACCAAAAAACAGCTCTTCCTCGCATTAATCCTTTGCCCGGAAACCGCCTCATACTCAGATAGCACCTGCTTCACTAACCTCAAAGACTTCACTGAGGCACTGGAGAAGACCAAAACATCATCCGCGTAACCCAAATGAGACACTAGAGGACAACCCCTGGGGATACGGAACCCCTGAAAACCTCAATGACTCTGCAACTTATTCAGCGACCTCGACAACACCTCAGCCCCAATGATAAACAGCGCAGGAGAAAGGGGTCCCCTTGACGAAGCCCTGGGAAGATTTAAAGAAGCCATATGATGCCCCATTTACAACAACAGAGAACCAGACATTTGAAATTAACCTCCAAACCATATCTATCCACTGTTCTCCAAATCCAAACGCTGTGAATATAAAGTCGTATGTGAAGAAAAATCAAGTAATGATAAAAAGAGGGGATAGGCGATCGTATTCTAATGTCTCCATCTTGACTTGGCTCAGTCAAATGTGCCTAAGAAATGGTAACAAATTAATTTCACCAGCTGTTGATTTTCCGAATTAGCATGAGTACATAGGGGCTGGAAATGTGGTCAGGCAGTGGCGTGATCGCATCAAATTAATAATCACATCAACTTGAATTTATAGACCTAATAAAACCAAAATTAACGATGAAAATGATGTGCTATAAGCATATATCTCTATATAAATCAACAAGTTGGAACTTGGGAACATCGTAAACTGAAAAAGTACACAAAAAATCAGAACTCTACCAAGAAACTCAATTCATTGGCCATGGATTTTCTTGGCAGGCTATTATCTCAATTGCTGCCTGTCCTCTTCTTTTCCTATGCTTCTCAACTTCCATTTCATCAGCTGTAGATCACCCCCACAAAATCCCAAGGCTCAGTCCAATACGGAGAACAAATCTTCGAGACCCTGACGATACTCTAACTAAAGCTTCTCTTTCAGAAGATTTCCAATCATACTTTTATGAACAGACACTAGACCACTTCAATTATAATCCACAAAGTATACCAAATTCAACCAAAGTTATGTGATCAATTCAAAATTCTGGGTGGTGCCAAGTCGAACTCTCCAATCTTGGCATATCTTGGCGCCGAAGCTCCATTGGCTGGAGATATAGAGGCTATTGGTTTTCTTACTGATAATGCCCCTCGGTTTAAAGCTCTCCTTGTCTACATAGAGGTACAGTACTATCATAACATCGTTTATTCTTCTTTCTTGATTTATACTCTATACTTAACAAACTTGTAAATACTAAATGTATTCGGGGGTCTTAATTTTCTTTTGCAGCATAGGTTTTATGGAAAATCTATACCACTTGGATCAATGGAAAAAGTGATGAAAAGTAAAACCGTTCGTGTTATTTCAACTCGGCTCAAGCTTTAGCTGATTACGCAGAAGTTTTATTGCATGTAAAACATAAATTTTCTGCTCAAAATTCTCCAATTATCGTTGTTGGTGGATCATACGGAGGAAGTATGTACTTTTCCATGTTGTTTTTTCTTTATCCTATATTTTTATTCATGCATTTTTTTTTTCCTTTCGGTGGTGATGTATCTAAATATTTCAACTTGGCAGTGCTAGCTTCGTGGTTTCGCCTCAAATATCCTCATATTGCACTTGGTGCTTTGGCATCATCAGCTCCCGTTCTTTACTTTGATGACATCACTCCCCAAAATGGTTATTATTCCACTGTGACCAAGGACTTTAAAGTAATGAAAGAGCTGTTAATGGTTTCATGTTTTTGAATCATTACTGGAATTATTATATGTTAAAGAGTTCTGAGAATATTTTTGTTATGTTAAATTACAGGAGGAGAGTGAGCACTGTTACCGAACTATACGACAATCATGGTCTGAGATTGACAAAGTTGCTTCTAAACCAAATGGTCTCTCCATTCTCAGCAAAAGATTCAAGACTTGCACGTAATAATTCCTCTCTCCCTTTGCTTTCGGTCATGTTACCAATCAAGATGTTCTGATATTTAGTGTGTATAGTAGAAACAGTCAAGTCCATATACTAGTCTTTTTTTTTTTTTAACGTCAAATCAATATGCTAGTCATTTTTTTTAAGTCAAGTCAATATACTAGTCATTATCATATATGAACTATTAATTTGCTTTATTCGTGAACATTTATGTATTAATAATGACGTCCGATGATTCCAAAGAAACTTCTCACGCGTGTATTAATTATTTTAGTCCAAGTAATCACCTCACCAGCTTGAAGTTGACATTATATCTGTCGATAGTTTGGTAATTTGGTCCCCAGTTAAGAGCCATTTTCTTAGGTTATATGTATGTATATAAGTTGTCTAATTAATTCTATATTTTTTTATTTTCTTTTCTCTTTTGAGTGGTAGAGTTAACACGATTTTAAGACTCATTAAAGCAGATTACTTAAACTTTAATCTTTTGCACATGTACATTATTTTATGTACCCAACCCTACATATATAGGATCAAACTAGTAAAACACAACTAATAGTGAATTATCTTTCCTTTTAATTATTTCAGGCCTTTGAATAGTTCGTCTCAGCTTAAGGATTACTTGGATTCCATGTTCTCATCGGCTGCTCAGTACAACTCACCGCCTAAGTATCCCGTCACTGAGGTGTGTAGTGGAATAGACAAAGCACCCAAAGGAACTGATATTCTTGGCCGCACTTTTGCCGGTGTTGTTTCTTACAAGAAAGATGAGTCATGCTATGATATGTTGGAATATGCCAGGTCCACTGAAACAAATATCGGATGGCAATGGCAAGTAAGACCCCTTTGGATTACTATTTTTTTGATAGATAAATATATTATACCGATTTAATATATGTGAGATAAACAGATAATTAAAAAATATTTTTACCAAAATGTCAATTTTTTTTTCAAAAAATAACAATCCAAATCTCTAATCTGTCTCTTGTTTCCCTTATTATTATTATTTGCACTAAGCCAGGACCTGATTAATGATGTTAGGAAGATAATTAATTGTTGTACTTGAGTTTGAAATAAATTTCAATTGAAAAGGGCTTCTTTTTTTTTTTTTTCAATAGACTTGTAGCGAGATGGTGATGCCTATTGGGTGCGGCAGCAATGATACGATGTTCCCACCATCACCTTTCAACCTACCGGATTTCATTAAGAACTGCAAAAGTTCATATGGGGTCTTACCTCGACCTCATTGGATCACAACTTATTATGGAGGCCATGTATGTTTTCTTGGTTGTTTTCTTTATCATGTCTTCATATTTTTCCAAATAGAAACTTCTAACTTAGTCTTTGATATCATTTTCACTTTTCCATTGTTGATCCTCATATGTAAATCCAACAAATGTAGGACATGAAATTGGTTTTCCAAAGATTTGGAAGCAATATCATATTCTCCAATGGCTTGAAGGATCCTTATAGTAGTGGCGGGTAATTGAATAAGACATTTTTCCTTTTCCTTCTTTATTGATTCTGTGTGCTTATTATATTGAAATTACTACTTATGGCTTCTTAAGCTAATTAATCATTAAACATCTTAATCGCAGAGTACGAGAGAACTTATCCAGCAGCCTTCTTGCTATTTATACAGTTAAAGGTTCGTTTTTTAAGCTCTTTCCATTCTAAGTAAACTCAATTCGATCCTCTATTTCCTTTTGCATCTTCTCAAGTAGTCTTCTTAATTGGAAAGATTATTTCCCTCACAAACATAACCAAATAAGTGCTAATGACACTAAAAAATACGAGTCACATTTCTTTGTGTCTGTAGTATGTGGGCTTCCGTTAAATGATTTGTGATGGCCATTTCGAAATCATTTTTTTGCAGGATCTCATTGCTTGGACATACTGGCAGCAAAAGAAAGTGATCCGTCCTGGTTGGTTGCTCAAAGGAAATTGGAGGTTGAGATCATTGAAGGATGGATCAAACAGTATTATGCTGATGTTCATTCCATTGGAAAACAAAGATATGCTTAAGTCTTTGCTTTTTCTGGAATTAAAACAAACAGAAGAAGGGGAAGTTAGAAGCATTATTATTGACCAAGTGCCGCACTCTTTTCTTTCTTCTTATTTAAGGTTCCAAATGATCCCCTGTAACATCATGATTCATAAATTTTAAAAATGGAATCCAACATCTTAGTGCTCCCAACAACGTAAGTTTTACGTGACTTATACATCAGATAGTAGAATCTATCTCTGTGTTTCTAAGGTTCCAAATGATCCTCTCGTAACATCAAGGCTTCATGTAACAATAGATCAAACTTGACAAATCAAATCACAAATCGATCTTCCTCATGCGGAAAAAGGTTGCCAGGAGGTGACATATAGGTTCTTCAGTCAATTTGATCACCTTCTTTGTAGAAGAACTAGAAAATGTTTAGAGTATTTATATATGTTGGTGTATTTTAATAAAATCTTAATTTTTTCCTTGACCAAATCTTTACGAGTTATAATAATTTATTTGGAAGTTATTTGAATTATAATTGTGGGAGTTTCATTACAAGGAGTTATAATAATTTATTTGGGAGTTGGATTTATAATCCATTCAAATGTGGATTAATTTTTAGGTTACAAATTCTACTAATTGACTACAATTTAATATAGAAAAACCGTTACACATTTTCAACCCCTTTTTCTTAAGGTTTTGTAGCTTATAAATAGTGAAATTCTTTGGAGAATTTATACATACACATCTCTCAACAAAAAATCATTCTAAATACTATTTTCTTCACACTTTTTTCTTTCTCCCTCATTCTATTTTCTTTGGGCAAAGTAAGATATTGGAACGCTTCTGCTTCTCTTGGTTGTGCAGATCAAAGGGAAGCAACAACTATAGAGTTGGGCTGTTGTATCCTGGAGGCGGCGCGCTAGACCTTCTGCATCGGTTTAAAAAATACCGTAAGGGCGCGTATCGTCTTAAAGAGAGCGTTTAACGCGCCTCAACCCTACCGAACTTTTTAGTAGCTGTCAATTCAAGGTAGTCGGATTAAAGATCAGAAGCTGTTCATCCAATAATTTTAAGATCTAGTTCGCATATCAACCCATGCCAAAATAACTTTGATGGTACAAATTATTTGCATTTATTAATGCAATATTGAGGTATGAGATTTTGTGAATTTCTTTGTTAAATTTTTACCAAAGAAATTACTATTACTTATATGATTAATTTGGTCTAGAATGAACAATTTTAAGATGATAAGCCTCTCGTTGCATATTTTGCTTCTAAATAATCAAATCATAAAACTAACATAATCCCGACAATGAGAATTTTAAATGGTGCATAACATAATCGGGACAAGCTTTAATAAACAAGATATTTCATGTGAATGGT